TCGATTGATGATTTAATGCTGTCACGGTGAGGGCATCCAGGTTGTAGCTGAAACGAGCGTCAAGACTTTCGGCGAGCAAACTGGTGAAGTAGAAGAGAGTAATGGTGGAACACAAAACCGAGAATCGGTCCACTCGAGGACGACATGGCGCTGAAGAAGTCGCCGAGTCGGGAGGCCTTTCTGCATAAACTCTCGGGTCATTTGAATATTGCCTCCTGATTGATTTTGGACGTCTCAATCTGATTGGTCCAAGTTGGGGCTTGTTGCAGTGGCCATATTTGATTGGTCGGTGCAAGAAGGAGTGCAAATATTTGAGTGGCCTTTGTGTTACAGTGAGGATTGGGCACGTGACTTGGCGAAACGATCGGAGTGCGACTGCTCAAATGAGGGCTACTAAACTGGTTGTATTTGAGTAGTGTCTAGACTACAAGTAAATCAGTAATAGAGGCATTTACTCTATCATGTGGGAAAATTCTACTACCAGTCCTTCATCAGCTTAAACGAAATAGGGGTGTAAATTGTGGCATAGCAAGAGGATACAGCTCTCTGGGATGGGCAGATGTCTTGCTGAGCAATCTCCAAGTTCGGGTAAAGGTGCCTATATATGTGAATATATATATATGTCTGTGTATGTGTGTGAGAGCAAGAGCCTTACTTTTAATAGTACAGGCAAATGTGGCACGACAAAGGGTGATGATGCACTCCGCAAGAGTTTAGCTAAAACTTTGTAGAAGAGTGGAGTTCACCTGTCTCTTGGACAAGTTGTTGCTCGGTCCTAAAAATGGCGATGACGGTCCAAGTTTGGAATCAGATAATGACATAACGACGACTACTTTCTTCGAGGTCTTCCTGGGACCACACACAAGCTGTGAAAGCTAGATAAGACAATATATATTCAGAGAACTACTGCGACCAAAATCTTCTACTCACGGACAAATCCTAGTCAAATCCGATGACCACTCTTCATTTCGTTTAGTATCTAAGACATTCTTGTTGGCTGCAGACGTTTGACTCTACTATTCTTCTTGATCTTAGCAAACCTGCATACTGGAGATGTTCTGGCATACTTACATTATGTTTCAGGTCTGGGCTCCAATCCTCTCTCTTGTATAGGAGTCAAAGTAATTTTTACGTGATGAAAAGGGTGCTTCATTGCTAATCTTTCATATAATGCAATTAAGAGTAATGTACTATCAGCAAAACTGTTGACTTGCTTATACTTTATGCAATCCAATACATTGTAAGTTATGCTGAATGTGATACCAACACGCGTAATTTCTCATACATTCTTGTAGGTATGACTGCACGCTCGTTTGCAATGGACACGAGATTCCTGCTGCCAAATGCATTCTGGCAGCCAATTCGCCTTATTTCGAGGGCATGTTCTACAGCGGAATGGATGAGTCTCAAAAAGACCGTATCCGTATTGACTACTTCGATCATTATGTATTGGAGAAAATAGTTGAGTATTGCAATACACAAAGTAAGCAGTATCCTATTGCCTTGACATGTTTTTCTCATCAACAGCATGTAGTATTGACCCATTTGTTGTATATCTTGCTACAGGAGATGAATTGTAATAAATTAGCCTCAATCTTTCAGAAAATCCAAGTTAACATAAGTGGATTGAGCTCGTCACAAATTGGTCTTGTTGTCAGGGCGACTATGTATAACACACCTAGTCCGAAGTCGTCTGCCATATTAGTTGTCATAATTCCCAGCATCAGGCGATCCTTATTCCTCCGGTTAGCAATAGATCCCTGATCCAGGCGTTTCCTTTTTGCTGGTGTTGTTCTATTCTCGTTTTCGCCCAGTTTGCTTAAGCAGTAGGCAAAGATTTCCCTAAGTCTACCTTCACCAATATCCTGTTCATTAGATTCCTTTCCCCAAGGATGTCAATGGCCTCCCTAATATTCTTATTATACAAATAGATGCGCCAGATGATAGTAAACT